AAGACGGCTTGTTCTGTAAACTATCTTTTCTAACAATGTTGATCTGAAAATTAACGGCTCTTGGTGTAGAAAACACAGTATACGTCACAGTAGAATTTCATCACAACCGGAAATAAGAAAACAGTGAAAACAATAGTGTGACGTATACTATGTCTTCCACACCAAGTAAGAGCCAAATTAACTCACTGATTGGCTATTTAGCTAGCTGGCTGATAGGTTGCGAGCAGGCCGACTAGCTAGCCCATTAACTGACCTACCAACTCACATTAAACAATGGAGCTCACTAGAGTTGCTTGCTTCTTAGATGACAACATTCTTACTGACACCTTCAGGACCTCATGGGCTACCAGACGCTTTTTCAAGAGGATCTCGTTTGGTTTGACTATTGGGGAATCATCCTGACAGACCTTGAATTAAGATCAAAGCCGACTGTAGATTCAGGATTCATGGCAAGGTGAGGCTTTTAGAGCTTTTTAATTAATTTTCCATCAAATTGGAATCTCAATAGAAGACACGTAGCCTTATGTTCGCGCGGAGAGGTCTGGGTCTGAGCCCTAGCTGGATCATGTGTTCTTGATTAAGACAACTTGTTCCCACAATGTAATCCACTCGAGGTTATAAATGAATGACTACGAACTTTCAAGGAAACTCGACGAAATACCCATACTCCTTATCGCTGGTTGTTTTGGAAACCGGGATAAACTGAGGCGTTGTAAGCTTCTTGAAATGATTATGTGTGTAAACTACGATCCAATTGGCGCGAAAGTTTAATGTTGTATTGGCTACTGCGTTCGAAACCTCTTTATTCTGATTACTCAACTCTCATTAAAAAAAATTGTTGATTGGTGGGTGAAAAGTAATGAAATATTTTTGTTCTGTCACGATGAAATCTGACTAATATAATACCTGATCCCTATTAACCCCTCAACTACCATGAGTGACCAAGAAAAAATTTCTCTTTTCAATATCAATGCAATATCAAGTAGATAGGTGATAAGAATAAAGAAAAATATCAATCAAGGGATAGCTAACTGATCCAATACCAAATTCTCCATACTAACAACATGAGAACTGTCTTGCAGACAGTAAGGAGAATTGCTAATTAGATCTTGGGAGTAAGAGGGTTAAGGGTCTGTAATATTCTTTTTATCCCTCCCCTCCTGTCAGTGGCAGTTAATTGGCATTCTCCCTCTTCATACTTTGTTAGCGCCGACTGATCCCCCCCCCTGTTTCCCCCTAAAAAACATAAGATATAGCTACCCCACAAATCCTTCTCCCACCTTCCCTCCCCCACCACACCCTCCTTAGGTGATAAATATTTACTGGCCTCTAAAAACTCTCCCCTCAGGTGGACTGAATTCAAAGAAAAGATGAGTAAGAAAAACATCGATGATTTTGGCATGACGCATTTTTCTGGGCCATTACTGAACCTAAGATACGGTGAAACAAACCATTTCGAAAGTCCCCCCAAAGTGTGCTTAAATGGTCGGTTCTTCAGTAAATATTTTATGGATTACATACAGACGGTTCACACCGCCATTAACAACGATTCTCGGACCAAACCACTATTTTCGTTCATTCACTTCAACACGGGACACGAACATACTGGTCAGCGGATTAGAAACACGGACGCCCATTTAGCAAAGTTCTTGACCAACATGGCTAAATTGCCGAACACTCTCACTATGTTAGTTTCTGACCATGGAAATAAAAATACGCGGTACAGCTACAAGACTGAGGTAGGAAAGAGAGAAGTTTATGACCCAATTGCTTTTATGATTATTCCCGATGGTGTCGCGAGAAGTCTGGGCGAGCAGAGGATGGCTGCCTTGGCAGAAAATCAAAGACGGCTTTTCACTTTTCTAGACGTACACAGAGCACTTATGAGTTTAAACGATCCGAAGAAAATGCAGTCACGAGATCCTCTGGTTGCAGGCATATTTGCAGTCTTACCCGCGAGTCGCACATGTTCAGACTTGGACCTTATGCCAGAAGCCAGATGCAAGTGTGAAATCAGCGAAAATTATAATTCGGTAGAAGACAACTCGGACAGTCTAAAGTGGTTGGCAGAATTTGCCGTTGGAGCTTTAAACGAAGCCATACAAAAACAGCATATGGAAGGTATGATAAAAAGGATGCAAAATAACATTTCTTAAAGCTCTTCGATTGAGTTTCATTGAAACAGAAACAAAGTGGTGTGGTGAAAAGGATCATGTAAATTAATTTTTCATGGGGCTCTTTGAATGAGTTTCATGAAACCATAAACAAAGTAGTGTGGTGGAAAGATGTAAAATTGTATTTGTCAGCGCTTTCCGATTGAGTTTCGTCAAACCATAAACAAAGTAATATGGTGAAAAGGGCGTAGAATAACTTTACAAAGCGCTTTTCGATTGAGTTTCATTAAACTAAGAAAAAAAGTGGGCGTCAAAAAGGAGAACATGACAAGAAGCCAGCGGAAGCACATAGTAAAATCAAGTAAATTGCTCGATGCGCGGGAAAACGCGGGCAACCAAGTCGCGATTGGCGTTAGTTTTTAATTTGATTGGTTGAGAGAGTGGCGCGGTTTTAGGGGCCAACAGAGAGCAAAGTGAGGCAAACCAACGCAAAACAGGATTACTTTGGAGACCCAACTCAAAATTTCTCTTCCGACTGTTTGTTTTGTGTTTTTTTTTGTAGTTATCCATGTTAGGTGCTTTTTGATTCAATGTTTTTAATTTTTCCTTTAAGGTGAAGTTGATAAGCAGTTGTCATCGAACAAATATGGATTCGGAAACTGTCAGCGTCTGGTGGGAAAATCTTTTGCAAACATTGCACAATTCTCTCAAGGAGACAATGTTACCACGACAATGGATTTACACGTAGTCCCTCCGAATGGACACAAAGAGGATGAAATTTTTAAGGTTTCTGTCAAGCAGCAGGCTAAAACAAAAGACAAAGTTTGGTTAACGAGTTTCATCCGGGTCTCTAGGTACAGCAAATTTAAGTCATGCGCAGATAAGTCAGTTGACATTAAGCTGTGTGATGCGTCACACATCAAACCGCTGAAGCTATGAACAGCAGTGAAAAGCTTGTCAATGTCGCCATTCCAACCGAAATGTTTGGTTCAAAAACTATCATAAAAGACCTCCACTCAAGATGTCTCTTAATCCTCAGACGAAATCACGGAATATTTTCTTTCGCGCTGGAAGTAACCAACGTGTGTTTAAACAGAACTTACAAAACTGAATTAGCCGGCTCTTCAAGAGAAATAGTTACTTCCAATAAACTGCCTATTAATCTTGAGATAAGTCCAAGGACGTTTTATTTCTTGACATCAGTGAAAAGAGAAACCTCTACAGAAATGATTTCTTTGAAATTTTATGCAAATGTGAAAGTCAGGTTTGCTAACTTCGACGAGTTTAAGGATTTGGGCAAAATCGACGTCTTGTGACCCCGAATTTACGAATTCCCGTTAGTAACTGTTGTAATAAAAATACTGTAGAGGATTATATATTATCTACTTTTTTCGCCATGAAACAACGAACCCTAATGTGATAGTGACGTCAGTTTGGTATCCAAGGCATAGTTGAGGCGTTGAACTCCTCATGGGACCAACTTAACTGAGAGAATGAAGTTCCTTTTACATTTGAAGTTTGAATCAGTTGAGTTCGTTCAACTGACTTTGGATTGCCCAACACATTTTGTCCGTCTGCTTCAGACGAATAGAACGTGTGAAGATTGACTGAGGGACAAACTTCGATCTCTCTTTGAATCGAACTTAATGAATAAATTACAAATTGCTTTGTTTGAAATCCCGCTAAGCTAAAAATTCGTTTTTGCTGCCCTGAATTAGGTTTGACGAATGATGTTCGAAGCTTTCGCTCTGACAAAGGGCTGACGCTCAAAACGTCAGCTTTAGAAACTCAGTCGCCTTGACAAATCCGGCAAATTATATTCTCAAACCCTCCGTCGACGCATCAACAAACAGTTACTTTAGAAACATTTCCCCTTCAATGCTCTAGGAATACGTACAACTGAACGCTATTTCATGCCGGATTTAAACGGTTACCTAGATACTAAAACCTTTCATGGACAAATTTACTTTCAAATCATTCATTTCATGAATACCTGTTGAAGACAGTTACTAATGATGCCATAAAAAACGTCGCTGCTACGATGAACTGGAGCCAAACTAAGGCTCCATTTAGAAAGTACACAACGACTTTTGAAAAGTAATTGTGTCCAAGAAAGGAAAGCCATAAAATTTTAGCAGCTTTTGTTATTTGGTTTTTAAGGATCGATACAAACACCATCTTTTTCGTTCTCTAAGCTTTACTGTGAACCTGTATGAAAGAGTGCTGTGATATTCATCTTTGACTGGCAGTTACTACTACTCTTTAGCCCTTTATTTGAGTTACGTTTCATACAATTTCATAAACATCGACGCAAATCACTTGGTGAAAATCACTCTGATTTCGCTGTCCGCAAAGAACATTTTTTATTTCATTTGACCGTTAACGTTTCTTAATTGAGACCCTACACATAACATCTGTGTCACTTTCGCTTTTCGCACTATACCACTACATCTTAGCTTCCATTTTATGCAAGGTTCATTCGACTGGCTACACATCACGCCTAAGTCAAAAGCTTCGCACCTTTCTTAATCCATTTCTCTTAATTTGCCGTCCTATGCAAAACAACATCTATTGTTCAAATGTTTCGGCAAATTACGAGCTGGAATCATGGAAACTCGCTGTCCACGTTTATCCAATACGCATCTACCAACTTGCTTAAACTTGAAGGTTACCTAAATAACTTGGACAACTGAATATAACTACGTACTCAAGTTAAACATTACGTAATCAGCACTAAGTTTGGGTCTTATTTGTAATCAACATATCATTGCGTCTTCCAAAAATTTAAAGCATTAAAAAGGCTAATTTTGTAATAAGTCGAGACCATTACAGGATAAAGATGTCACAATCATATTATCGACCTTACCCATGGAGAGAAGTTAATCGGTATATTTTATAACATACTTCATACTTTTTTGGACGTCGAAACGACCTTTTGCTAAATATTTACATATAACAACTTGCAATGTTCGCCTCGTGGCAATGACAGAAACCATTGCGCAAGCACAGGAATCCGATTACTGGCAACTAAATATCTCTTAACTACGTAATTTCGCACCCATTGTCCCAACGAACCGTAGCAACGCAGCGCATTTGGACCAAATTAAATCTGAATTAAACTTCATGGTTAACTGCATGTGAGCTGAACTGGAAGCACTCGCCTCAGCCATTGTAAGTACAATGTTAATTGCCACTGCTTTCTATTAGAATGAAAATAAGTCAGAAAATTGTAAAGATAAGACGGCGGCACATTGTTAGAGCGTCGAAAAATACGACACGGTTTGATTTGAATAAAGTTCCGTACGACCTTTGAAATTTCACAGCGAAAATAAGTTTTTAAAGGCTACCTTAAAAAAAAACTGCCCCGATGCTTTTTAAATTGCAGGTTCAAACAGGGCCAGGGAAAGCATATGTCAGAAACTTTGACCAGGATGTCATCATGGCGGGAGGTTCCTGTCCTCTTGGGTGAAACAAAATCCTCGTCGATGGAAGTTTAAGCTATTTTTGTGAAATTTTTTTCATACAGCTATGAAGGTAGTTCGTTTGTGGCTTTCAAAACTTCTTCGTAAGCCCAGGTTAAGTTTGATTGTGATAATTTGCGCGTCGACTCTTCTGTTGTTATTGGGAATGTTTGGAGAGTGGAATTACACGAAGAAGACATCGTATCGCATTATTTCACCAGCTGAATAGTAAGTCTTTATTGTCTTCTTTTTCGTTGAAGTGGTATTTATGCTCAGCAGCGGAACACCACGCGAATCTTAAAATGAATTTTCTTAAAATGGACGAATTCCCCGTCCGACAGTTAGAAATATTCCTCACAGCACAAGATGTTTGTTTTATTTGAACAGCGATTCCAAAAACGATGGAGGTGCTCCGGTTACACGTTAAAAATTATCGTGTCACTGCATTCTCAGAACAGAAAGTCTTTCCATTTAATCATTTTCGTTTTGACAGTATACTCAGTTTCTGGGAAGATACAGCTGACGAAATAAAATTGCATGAAGGTTTGTTTTGGGATTACAATCAATAATTATAGCCACCGCGCTGGGCTAACGATTTCTTACAATTGAGGAAATAGGGATTAGTTTGGACATTTCGTCAAACGAACCATTCGATTCGATTCTCTGTAAGAAAGAAAATCAGTCAGAAAATTGTAAAGGCAAGAAGGCGGCACATCGTCAGAGCGTTGAGAAATACGATACGGTTCGATTAGAGTAAAGGGCAGTACGAGGCGATTCTCAAAATTATAAAATTTTGAGAATCGCCTTACATTTTCGAAAGATGTCTGTGTTTTTAAACTATAACCCATGCTATAGTTATTGTTGTTTTGGTGTCGCCGAGTTTTGTACGAGTTTCGTCCTGCGGGCCTTGTTAAAATGTACAGGGCAATCGATACCCCAAAATATTATATCCAACTTCAACTTTTTAAAAATGTTCATGTATATAAAGATTTAGGATTTTTTACCGCTAGTGATCTTTCATGGAACCAACGTTTGGGTTAAATAACTGCTAAGGGTTGTAGGGTATTAGTGCTGGTTAAAAGGACTTGAAGGGATGTAAGGTTACTTCCCACATTCAGAGGCCAAAAAATCGATTTTTATTCTATTTTACTACACTGTATTCAAACATTCAACCTAACGTTTATTTAAAAAGAATGACTGAAATCTTTAAAAACACCCAAGCTATTTAGAAAAACGTATTTTCAAATAAAAGTTAATGAATAAGGAAGGTGTCATAATCTTGTACTTTTGCGAATCTCCTGGGGGAGTTTTCGCGGTAACCTCTCATCTTATTTACATAAAAGTAACAGTAAAAGCTCTTTGATTATGGAAAAAATCTTTGCTCGTGGAAAAATCAAAAGAAGAAGAAAGTTGTTGGGGAAAAAAAAAGGAAAAAAAACAGACCCTAAGAAGAAAGAAAGGGTACCATTCTGTCAAGAAAAGAAAAAATTTCCTTTGTGATAGAGACTGGTACTGGGAGAGCTCTTCACTGGCATCCAGATTTCAAACAAAGACGTTGCTGTCAAACCAAAATTTGCCATACATGATGGTCATTATTGTGTCATCGTCCTCAACGCTCCTCTAAGTGATCAAGATTTAAAAAAAAAAGAAAAAAATGTCTGCAATAGGTTACTTTTCCCAGGAAATCTTGATCCCTCATCATTGACACCAGGAGGTCCTGTTGTCTTATTGGTTTGTGGTTTCAGGAGGTGAGATAATCTCCTGATGTGGTGTGAGTCGTTTGCAAACCTTTATGAGCTAAAATCTTGCATTTGATTTTAGAAGGAATACACCCACTTTGAGGGAATTTATAGGGTATATGGATTTGACTGATTTTCATCACATTTTGCCAAAACATCCTAGGAGTAATGACGAACAAAAGTGTGTCAGGAAATTTTGATATTTAAAATAGTTGTCTTGTGACATCTATTTACACAACATGACTTGGATATTTTTAGCTTCTCCAACTTTAGATGCCAATATCTACACAACCCAACAGAATATCCAAGAAAGCCTGACACACTTTTGTTGATTGATGCCTTGTGAATGAGACTGTGCAGTGACTGCACTGCAGCATGCGATACCAGATAAATTCAATAGACACCCACGAAGGTGGGAAGTAACCTTAAATGACATTGATACTATGAAAACACTTATCATCACTCATGTGAGACCTTTACTTAAATATTCAATTGATACTTTGAACCCTCGTACTAAATGTAACATTGTTAAATGAGAGGCTGTCTGGCGTAGAGCCACCAGATGGATTACTGAGCCTAATGATGATTGTGATTCTAGATTATCTAAGCTCAAATTGTTGTCACTATCCAATAGGAGGTTCATGAAAGATGTTGCATTTTTGTTCAATGTAATTGATGGACATTGATAGAGATATTGCTAACAAGCTCCAATTTTGTAACAACAGAAATGTATATAATAATTTGAGTGAAAATGACACACAGGACCTTGCTCCAAATTTTAGATGAACTAATGGTTTTAAATATAGATTTTTTTTCTCTAATCAAAGTAGAGAATCAAATGGTATGGCAGCCTTTAAAAGGAATGTTTTAAGTTTTATCCCAAGCATGATGCATCAGTGTTTAATTTAATTCAATACATTGACTATTTGTAATCTAGTGGAGTGAATCTATTTTAATAAATGGCACAACTCAAAAATATTCAGCGATAACACATACCAAAACATCTAACAAGTTACTTGATATCCAACTGCTTTATTTTATATGCATTTCTTTCAGAGTGGTTTAAGCAAATCAAATAGAGAAGTGTTGTGTGACAGGTGTTGCATTACATTAGCATCAGATTGGCTTATCAGAAGTCAACTTGTCAATTAAGGTTTCAGAAAGATTTAATTCAACCATTTTTCTCAAATTGTACACATTTAAAAGTACTGCAAGTACAAAAAAGATTTCTATTAATGAAAAGTGTTTGAATAATTTATCAACAGTGACAAAACCTTATCAATCAATCCTAAGACTAACCCTAACCCATATTTTTACTCTACTTAATGCTGTTGGGTAATAAAGAAACATTTTGACCAGGCATGAGGTCAAGATGGCTGGATATTGGCCTAAGTTCTTATTTTGCATTTATATGGACAGAGATGGTTGAATCCAACACCCTTGGACAATTAATATAACAAAATGGTGTTTGTTTTGTTTCAACAGTCACCAGTCCTTTCAGATGTTAACCAACATAGATATTGAGACTCTGAAGACTCATCAGAACTGTTCTCCAGAAACACACATCCTCTTTCTGAAGACACACAAAACAGGATCTTCTACAATATCAAACATTTTTTTCCGTTATGGAGATTCTCGCGGTCTTCAATTTATTCTTGGTTCAGACACACTGGTTGGTTGGCCAAGTCCTTTCAGAATTTCACACACCCTACATCCTAATGGATTTCAGCCAAATTTTCTATGTAGTCACACAAGATTTAGTAAGAAAACTATGAATTACTTATTTCCAAAAGACAGGAGTAAGTACATAACAATCCTTCGACATCCTGTGGACCAATTTGAGTCTGTTTTCAATTACATGGGGTTTGGTGAGGTATATAATTTAGGGAGTGATGCGACAGAATCTATAAAAGGATTTCTTAGGAAAGGAATAGAGTTTAAAGACATCTTTAGGGCAAGATCATCTGTTCTAGCAAGAAATCCAATGATGTTTGATTTAGGTTTGGACTACAAGTTTTACCAGAATGCATCAGCTGTGAAAGACTACATTGCATTTTTGGAAAAGGAGTTTGACTTAGTCATGATAACAGAGTATTTTGAGGAATCTGTGGTGCTGATGAAGCGTTTGCTCTGCTGGTCATTCATTGATATTCTTCACATTAAAACTAATGAGAGAATTGCCCAAGAAAGAGCAGAGTTCAGTGGAAACTTGAGAGAAAACATAAAACGCTGGAACAAAGCAGATATGTTACTTTATGATCACTTCAATAAAACATTTTGGTATAAAATAGAAATGGAAGGGAAAGAGTTTTATGAAGATCTTGCAACTTTTCGTCGACTGAAAGAGGTTTTACACAAAAACTGTTTTGGAGAAGCAACAGTTGTGGAGGTTTATCCTGGCAAGTATGCAAAGACATTGTCTTTAAATCCAAACGTATCAGGAATGAGCAGAGAGGTATGCAAAAAACTTATTGTAAAGGAAAACAGCTACCTAAGTTATTTAAGACAGAAGCAGTTGTACAAATCACCAGGCCCTATTGACACTACAATAATTGAGGATGACCAACCTAATATCAGCTGGAGTGTATCAAAAGATTTTCAGTATGATCCTCTACCAATATAATCTAGTATTGAGAGTATAGTGCATACTGTTAAGATAGAGTTTAAATTAGATACGAGTTTGAAATTACTGATGCTATAGACATTCATGTATTACCGTATTTACCCGTGTATAATGCGCGCCTGTGTATAATACGCACCCTAATTTTTGACACCTTTTTTCCGAAAAAAAAGATTTCATGACAAATACCAAGAATTAAAACTTCCATTTTTTCACTTAATTAACAAGAGCTGGGAATTCATCAATAATATGTTTACAACAATTTCTAACTAGTTGCTACTACAAATATCGAACGCACCGAGCACCTATTTACAAGCTTTTCTATTCAGTAACAGTCAAACGTTTTATAAATGTTGTAACTTGAAGTCCTTACTAATATACCTACATTCACAACTTGAATTATTATCATAACAGCCGTTCATAAACATTATTTCTACTCACAGTACTGCTGGTAGCTTGAATATAATTACTGCATTGCAATTGCGTGATTTAAGTAAAATGTTCAGTGTCTTTAAACCGACTCACAGTCCGATTCGAATAGGTTTTCGATGACTGAATCCTCAAGTTCATCAGTGATCTCAGTTGAATTGTAAACCAATTCATCTTGTGATCCATTCGAATTGTTTGTGATCCCACACTTCAGAGAGAGGCAGTGATCATTTCTGATGGAATGCCTTCCTACGCTTGTGAAATATACGAACAGATCAGTTCCTCCGAAGCTTTTTTTTGTCGTCCAGTAAGTTCGTGAATTCCATCAGCCATCCACTCCTTTCGGACTCCATCTCTAAATGGTTTGTTCAAAGATACATCGAGCGGCTGGAGAAGGGAAGTTCGCGTTTGAAGGAAGTGTTCACAGTATCTGTCATGTGAGCTTCAAATGAGTCGTAAACAAGCAAGCTCTTTCTCCTCCCCAGGCCACCGATCCGTGCACTTTTACTTTCTTTGTTGCGTTTTTAACGTATGCAAATTAGGACGTGCTTGACAAACAATAGAATCCGTGTATAATACGCACCGCGATTTTGATGCTTGTTTTTATGGAAAAAAAAGTGCGCATTATACACGGGTAAATACGGTAAATACTATCACACCTACAAAAGACAAATTTGTAAATGAGTGTCTAAAGTAATCCAGAATTGCACTTAATTTGCATTACTTTGCTCTCTGATTGGTCCAGAAAACTTGCACCACTGAACCAATCAGATGCAAAACTAATACTGATCTCAACTCAGTCGCTTGTATTTCCTGTACTTTGCATGGTTTACTCGTTTTTACGTCAAGTTCTCATAGGCTCTTCAGGGTATTTGGCATTGAATGGAGAAATTACACTTCAGTCTCTTCTGGGAGTAACAGAAATATTTTACCATTAAGCTTTTCATTTGTAGCAACACTTGTCAATAACAAATAACTTTTTGCTATTTTTGCTGCATCCAAGGGATGGTGCAGCAATTATGAACACATTCATCATCAAACCTGACCAGTACAATAACAGAAACAGTCTAGAAATTCCATGTACCTTCTTCATCAACTTTGATTGGTACAACTGAATTTAGTTTGAATTGTTTGATAATTTCTAATAAAGTGGATGGATAGTTTTTTTTAAATGATCCGTCAACTTACATTTCTAAAAATATTCCTTAAATATCACAGTGACTCGAGATGTTCAGATCAGAATTTTATCTACTTTAATCAATAGTTGGAAAGTTTCTCTTTCTATATTTCTATATCTTATTACATTCATTAATTGCTATTTAAATGTGGACATATTTATTGATTATATTTAAATAGAATTTGAGCCCCTAGAATAAATAAAATATTTCATACTATTTTTAAAAACCAGATCATTGTGTGGATCAATTTTTCCTTGAGGCACATGTAAGTTTGAATATGCCTATTCTTCGGCTGTTTAGCTGCTGACTCTTTTTGCCAATTGTTTTGGCATCAACCAATTCTGTTTAAGAGGTCCTAGTTCAATACCTTGTTGGGTCATTGTGCAGTGTTCTTGGACAGGGCACCTCAAACTCAGACCCTCTTTCTAACCAAGAGTTCCTATTAAATGGGCTTGGAGAAACTTGCAGAAACACCTGTTGAAGTGCTGAGGAGGGGGGAACCCATCCTAGGGGGGGGGGAAGGGGAGGTAATTGCTTCATGCTACAGAAACTGGGATAAGCCCTTTAGCACGATGCTGACTTAGGAAATGAGTGCAAGAGGTTGGTCAAATATGTCACTCATATCTGAAACATTAAAATGTACGAAAGGAATATATTAAAAAATCTTTATCTAATCATGAGACACTAACAGTTCCTAGACTTGAAAATTCACTGGAGCCATCCTTCTTCACTTGTATACTTGCTCTCAAGTTCAAAGCTTGATTAACTTTTGATAAATATTTGAAGACAGATGTTAAAAAAAAGAAGGTCTTTGGTGGTAATACACGGTTGATTGGTAAAGCAGTAGAAAAAATCCTTTGATCCATAGAACCTGTCATTGAAAATTTGTATGTTCTATCTGTGCATACATTTGTCACTTCCAGTGTGAAGGAAAATGTCCCAAAATCCCTTCTCAAGAACAGCAAACAGTTGGAATCTAGGTTCTTCACTTTTGTTTCTGCTCCAAACATTCCCCGTGGAACACCGTTCTCTAACAATACTCCATTTTTAGTATTGTTGGAGGTTTGATTTTTTGCACATGCACAGAGCTTGATATCTACTGACTTGTCTTGGCAAGTTACAAATTTGTTGTACTTTGTCACTCTAACAAAACTAAGAAAAAATACTCCTTGTCTCGGTTTAGAGTACTGTTTGACAGAGACTTTATAGATTTCATCCTCTTGGTATCCATTTGGAGGAACCACATGTACATCCATTGTTGTTAAGATGAATTCTCCTTGGAAACGTTTTACAACATCAGTGAATGATTTTCCAACAAGGCGCTCACAGTTTCCATAACCTTGGTTTTTCTTTGAGTCTTTATCCTCTAATAAAAAGGTAACAGATAAAATATTCAAAAAGTGAGGTCATCACAAATGAAAGCAAAGCCTGTGGTGTATTCTCATGCAGCACACAACCTTATATCTCTTTTTAGATCCCATGAGTGACCAAGATAGAATTTCTCTCTACAGTACCAAGACAATAACAAGCTGACAAGTTTTGAGAATCAAGAAAAATATCAATAAGGGTGTATTAGTTGATCCAAAACCAAATTCTCTGAACTTAAATCATAAGAATTGTATGACAAACAGAAAGAAAGTTGCTAATGAAATCTTAGGAGTTAAAGTTTTGAGCCATGTCCCATTTCTTACTTTATCAAAAACGAAACAAAATTCTGGACCATGATTGGTTATCACAAGCTCAATTTGAGCACTTATGGGACAGGTTACCGTAATTTCCGGTCGTTTACCCGCGGGTAATCTGTTGATTTTGCATTAAACGCGCGCCACTGCGGGTAATAGGGAGGTGCGGGTTATGTGACAATTTTAAAATCCAGTGGTAGTTGAATTGAAAAAAAAAAATATCACCAACGTGCGTTTCCACCTCTCAAGTAAATTTTATTGTGTTAATAGTGCCGCAAAGCGGCACGAAAACATGATGCCGACTCGAGTTTATTTCACGCATAATTAGTTGCGCGACGAACAAATTATTATCGGCACGCGTGAAAACAAAACCTTGATGGTGACAAAAATTATCCATAGATATCCGGCGCATCAGTAACAAATTTCCATTTAACACTAGCTTGAGCTAAAGAGAATTTTCCCGTTTTAAGGGACTTGTTAGGCCCGATAGAACCGGAGATATCGATTTTTTCAGAAATCGCCGACAGTACTTTATAATTCAACTTTTAATACTCACCCAGCTTTTTTTCAACAAATCAACATGGCGCTGAACGATCGCTCGCACAAACTGTGGCCACAAATTCGCATTCTGTCAAGTATGAAACGTTGAGATTTGGGCATGGGCCGCTAGTGTTTTTACTGTATAATCTTATCAATAAAGTACATGCTAATATTGACACAGAATTGTGCACGCGTCTGAATTTCTTTGACCTTGAAACTCGACAAAGACGCTTCGAAGTTTTCGAAAGTCGGATCAGACAACTTTTAAAAGACTGAAATGTATCACCTTAATGTCACGTTTTCGCCACGAAAAAGTTGAATAACAACGTGCGGGTTATCCACCAGTGCGGGTAATCTGGTGACTTTTTTTTTCGCCGTATGCAATAATCGGCCGGTGCGGGTAATCGGCCGTGCGGGTAAACGACCGGAAATTACGGTAAGTGTCATGCTTGTAATTGGACAGTGTAATAGGACAGTTGAAATGTCATACCTGTGAGTAAGCACTGTTGTCATGCATTTTGTTTAACTCTTTAACTCCCACATCAAATTTGTAATTCTCCTTACTGTCAATCATACAATTCTCATAATATTAGTTCAGAGAACTTAGTACTGGATCAACTAATTATCCCCAAATTGACATTTTTCTTTATTCATATCTCTTGTCTGATTGATATTGTATTGATATTGTAAGGAGAAATTCTGTCTTGGTCACTCATGGGAGTTAAAGGGTTAACCAGTGTTTAGTTTCCTTCTCAAATTTTGTCATAGTTTTGATCAAATGGTTACAGGACTTCATGTCCTCCAATTCTGTCTGTAATCATGCAGTGTTCTCATTATTACTGAAGTGGACTCCTGTTTTGCGTTCATCTGAATTTGTTTGTTACTTATATGATTACAGACCAAATTGTACTCCCCTCAGTCCTATTACCATTAATTATTAATTAGTATAACCATTACAATTTCCTTGAGTATGATTAATTGATGAGCTGCCTTTTTTCACTAATTCTGTATAATAGAAACGAGATGGTTACATCAGCCAATCACATGGAGTATATTCAAATCAATCCACTTATTAAACAATTAATTACAGTAATTGTAGCAATGACATGCCATTTCCCAAAATAGAAGGTAGATTTTTTTTCAAGGCTGTCATTGGAGTGGAGGCACAGGCAGTGAAAGTTGTGAGACTTGAACCACCTAGCCAAGTAAGCTGACAAAAGATCTTTAAGATAGATCCTCACAGACTTATTGCCTGTAACTCGTACAGGCTTCATCTTGCCCATCTCAGCTCTAAAGAGAGCCAGCTTCCAGGTTATCTCTCACCTTTCTCATATTGTCTTTGTATGGCATCATTCATGTAACCAACTGCAGCTTCTGCAAGCCACTTATGGTCTTCTGCATCATCTTTGATATGACCTTCTTCATCAAAACCCTCGCATTTGCATCTTGTCAAGGGAAGCATGAATAAGTCTGCACAAGTGCGGTTAGCTGGTATTTCTGAGAATATTCCTGTAACTAGGTAATCCCTGGAGTTCCTCGTCTGAGGATTGTGCAAACTCATAAATGCATTGTGAACATCATACAACATGAACATGCGTTTTTGGTTTGTTTCCAGGGCTCCCATCCTTTCTGGACCTAGTTTATCTGCAACACCATCAGGGACAATCATGAAGAACACTGGATCAAATAATTCTCTTCTGCCTTCAGGAGTGTAACTAAATGGTGTCATTTTATGGCCATGATCGGAAAATATCACAGTCAGAGTGTTAGAAAACGAAGCCATGTCTATGAAGAACTTTGCCATGTTAGCATCTAAGTTGATCATCCTTTTACCAGTTGTTTCATGTGCAGTGTTAAAATGCATGTAGGACACTAGTGGTTTAGCTTTCTCGTCTTGCTGCAAAGCAGTATACACCTTAGTGATGTAGTCCATGAAATACCAACTGTAAAACTGTCCATTAAAGCAAACTTGAGAAGGGTAGTCATAATGATTAGTTCTCTTTAAAACATAATGTAACACTGTGCAGGAGAAGTGTGTTAAGCCAAAATGATCGGTCGTTTTTTGTTCCTCTTTTTCTAGAATTTCCTTCCACCTGTAAAGAAAACCATATTAAAGTCTGAAATAAACAAGGACAATTTTGCACTGCCTGGTGGGCCAGAATTAATAACTGTTTGATTGCTTACTAACAGGTACCCACATACTGGATATTTAGGCATGTGCAAGCAGTTATTAACATAAGGAAAGGGCTGGTGGGCCAACCTCACATGATTTTTCCACCTACTTTGACTGAGAACTTACCAGAAATATTTCAGAGAGCATGAAACACATTTTGACACAGAACACACGCCTTGGATAAATTTCACATTATTGTTTCAGAAGGCTGAAATACACTCTTAGAGGTGCACTTTTTAACATTTCCCCCACCCCAACAAACATGTCATTTTTTGGTGTACCCTTCTTCACCTCATCTTCCTTGCATTGAGTACGTGTATGCATCTTCTCCCACACTTTTGAGAGTCAAACATGTCAAAAACACTAACCTGGATTTGAATTCAGCATCTCCACTGGGTACAGCACGTTTTTGATTGTTTGTTAGTAAACTTCCCCAAATGTCATACCAACAAAGGTCCTCTTGAAAGAGGGTCTGGTAGCCAGCTTTCTGGAAGGCCCCATACAACACCCCCATTCCTATAGGGGCCTTTGTGTTCTCACCTGAAGCACTTATCTCATTGTCATCTGCAAAACAAAATACTTAAATTATAATCATACCCACAAATCTTCAGGTTGTTTAACAAGGAACCACCCAATTGAGACCTACTCTGAAATATAAGGTGAGCAAACTAGACTTGAAATTCATTGAAAAAATTATCTCACTCATTGAGAGTGAACATATGATTAATATCCTTCATATAAATAGGATATCTCTTGTACATAACTTACTTCCTACACCCTGGGTCAAATCATGACAGTGCTTCTGACTCAAGATTTTTCAAAGTTGCTATTTGGTGACAGAAAAATCAGAAAAAGGTCACCAGAAAAGGAAACTTTAGTTGACAACAGCTGGCGATTGTTATTGAAGGTTTGCACAACATCTCAGGACTAAACACCTAACGCTTTACCTCCCACTGGCAACCAACATGTAACTTCTACCTATAATATCCATACATGTATATTATCCAGCAAACAAGTGATGAGAATACTAAGACTTATCAGCTAGAATCTTGATTTAACATCAAACTCTTGTAATTAATTTACAAGGAATTGTATAAAAGCCAGAGGGGCGAATTGACACACAGATCATGGGAGTTGAAAGGGTTAACAAGACTAAAGGAGTGAAGGCAGTGACTGAGAACTACTTGACTGCCATTTTACCTACTTGACTGCCAAACACCATGGCAACAGAAATAGTGGCAGCTTGGAGCACTGCATAAGTTTAGGCACACCATATTTATTAGTCAGTGGAGAAAGAAGAATTCCCCAGCTAACTTTCAATGAATTGGGCTATTTTTGACAAAGACATGAGGAACATTCTCTTCTTACTTAGAGCTGAATAATCCTGCGGTTAATTTCCCTAGTAAAGAAACTCTTGTACTCACCTTTAAGAACTCCAGAAAAAAATGGCCTTATATTCTCAAAAGTCTGTTGACCAATACTCTGATCAAGTTCAAAGTCCAGTGCCCTGGCCTTTATATTGGCATCCTCATTTATCTTTTTAAAAGCCCCAACAACTCTTGGCATAGTACGATAAAAATGGGGTCGTGAAATAGAGTCCAACATAATCACATTTACATTGATGTTACTTCTAGTTTTGCCATCTTCAACTTTCTTAAAAATTGGAGGAAAGGAAAAGACTTGGAGATTACTTCCACACCTCAAGAAGAGAAAGTCAAATCCTCTCTCTTGGTTGGTTTTCACTGCCTCTTGCACTGAAGCAGTGAGTCTGTCCTTTGATAAAGTATTCCAGTTAGTTACAGATTTTCCCATTTGTGGATCAACAGATGCCATTTGTATGTCTGAGGATCCACAAACCTTTGCATCACAGGATACATTAATTTCCCCAGAATCTGTTCGTTGGTAGGAGCAAATATCTGGGTGACGTGTACCAGAACATTTTCGATCCTCCACACGTCCTGGCTGGCCATAATACTTCACAATCAGTTCTTGGCCAGCTTTGTCAGGCCTATGAGAGAATTTAAAGTCACAATCATTAACCCTTTAACTCCCATGAGTGACCAAGACAGAATTTCTCCTCACTAAATCAATACCATATCAACCAGACAAGTGATGAGAATAGAGAAAAATATCAGTTAGTGGATTATTAGTTGATTAAATACCAAATTCTCAGAACTAACATAGGGAATTCAGGGCGTGAAATTAATTTTTTCTTCTGACAGCCACTTGGCTCCTAAATTCTTCAAAGTGGTAACCAATTCAAGAAAAGTTGGTGGCCATTTTCAAAGACAAACAAAACCTCTTTTTTACGCTGTCATCGTTCTAGAAATTAAGTTAGGGAAAAGATCTTTAATGTGCTACAAAATGGACACTAGGATGGATGATATGCAACGTTTAAGCTCACCTAAATCCAAGATGGCGTCTACTTATCGATCGAGATGCATGTGCTGCATTTTGGAAACAAACTTAACGAGGAAGTTTGCCGCGGATTTGTCTTTGCAAATCTTTTTAATTCACTAGATCTCTTAGTAAGGTTATGATGAAAAATTCTAGTTGCCAATTTGGTGACTAATTTTCAGGATTTGGTCACCAAAATAAAAAATTTAGTCGCATTGGCGCCTGTATTGGGTGCAATTTCACGCCCTGGAATTGTATGGCAGACAGTAAGGAGAATTACTGATGAGATCTTGGGAGTGAAAGGGTTAACCCTCTGATCATTAAGAGTGAATGGCATCTTATTCCTCCTCACATGATCATCCTCAAATCAAACATAAAGGTCATGAGAATAAAGGAATCTATCATCAACTAAAATAAGCTTATGATTATTAAACAAATTCTCCATATCAGCACCCTAAGAAATGCATAGAGAACAGTGTGGAGAATATGCATATTGATGTTAGGGTGTGAAGGGTTAACTAGGTGTGATATTTAACCCTTTAACTCCCAGAAGTGATTCACATGTAACTTCTCCCTACAACATCCACCCACTATCCAGCAAACAGGTAATGAGAATACTCAAATGTATCAGGTAGGAGTTGTTATCTTGATCTAACACCAAATTCTTGCAACTAATTTACAAGGAAATGTGTAGCAGCTAGATGGAAGAATTAACAATCAGATCCTGGGAGTTAAAGGGTTAAATATACACAGTCAATAGCCTCCTTTTGGCATGAAAATACACTGAAATTTGTCTAAGAAGCTAGCAGTTTTCTGAGAGAAAGCTTGAGGAAACCTGTGAGCTTTGCCACAGAGGCTAGTAATTTTTATAGAAGTTACAATAACATTCAACCAAACATACTTGTGAGGTATACATGTCTTTATTTCCCTCCGAGTTGTAATAGAAGAATTTTGGATGGTTACTGAAGTGCTCTTAATGACAGTACCAGTAGTACTGCTATTGTTGCCTATACCTTGTGGCCTTGGAGGAAAGTGCAAATTCTCTGAAACAGAGGACAAACAGAGTATTTAAAATAAGGCAAACAATTACAGAAACCAAAAGAGTATGCAGTTAACAATCACCTTTCAGCACTCATTGTCACTTTTAAGTAATTTCGACTGACATCTAACATCAGAGTTCCTTCTATCCCAGACACATAAAGTTTTAGCACCAAACACAATTCTAGTTTTCAGTCTCTCCTTGCAACCATCATTTCTGCTTATCTATTAACATTACTGCTGATACAAATAGCAGAATTACTCATGAGTTAAGTTTACTGTCAACAAATTCTGTCAAAATTTTTTTATAATTTGGTTTTTTGGTTCTTTAGTCAGAGAAATCATCATCAGACAAGAAGCAGTATATAAGATGAATTGCTCTGACTGCCACACCTCCTACATCGGTAAGACTGGCAGAAACCTCACAACTAGACTGACTGAACACAAACTAGCAACAGGGAAAGGCAATGTCAACAATCACATTGCTGAACACCACCGACTTATGAACCACACTATTGACTGGGACTCTGCGCAATGCCTAATCTTCAGCACCAACTACTTTCAACAATGATCCTGGAAAGCTGATTTACTAACTTGGAAAAGACTCCCTTCAACAGGTGTCAACCACTACCGGTACCATACAAAAGACTCATTCACGACATTAATTCATGACAAATGAACCCAACAGAACGACCTAACTTCACTAACGGATCCAAACTAACCGATCATGACTGACGTACATCACTTGAGTCTTGCAGCCAATAACATCATGGCAAAACTGACCAATCAGTTTCTACAAACCGGACTAAGTACATTTGACTGACAACAACCTTTCACTTGACTCTGATGACGACTTCTGCTCAGGTTGTCGAAAAGTCAGTCACCATTACTGACAACAGTCCTTCTCAGGACTACACACACCTGGATGATCCAACTACACTATTATAAGTTTAGTTTGCCAAAAGAAAAAATACAAAATCTTGAAATGAATGCGAGATATGGCTGAAAGAGTTTTTAAAGTAGCTGTTACAGAACAGTGAAACATGTAATAATTCCAAAGTCTCCTGCAGAGTGTTGACATTTTTCCTGGACTTTCATCCAGGATGTTGATTTGCATATTTCCTTTGCAGTATTGCACCACACAAAATAGGTGAATTTGTCAAATTTCCCAAAAATTGAGGATTGAGATTTTTCATGAAACGGTCAAAAAGAGAAGTGGCTTTGCGGCAAATCTAAAAGAAAACCCCAGCCAAAGAAATTGATGGCAGACAATTCTAATGAAGCAAAAAAGTCTGACCTCACTCACAGTTTAATACTCAGACAAACCAGAGTAAAGAAGAAATGACTGAACATTTGTATCTATAAATTTATCCAAAGGTTATCTCAGTTTGACTTGGATGAACAAAGAGAGCAACTTGGCAAAATAACTTGAAAATTTAGTTGCCAAAATCATTTCCAACTAACCACTGTAACTAAAATGGTTGCAGCTTGGAGAGCTGAAGAGGACAGATGTGAAAGTTTTTTTTATCAAACTTACCACTTTAAAAAATAAAAATGATGTGAGTAGAGGTTGAAGAGAGGAGTTATTCCTTTTCTACCATAAATTTAACTAAAAATACAACATTTATGAATCAAAGCAGATTTGCTTTGATACTCAATGTGTTATTTAAGTATCTACTTACTGTTCTCAGGAACAAAATTCATGACCTCAGGTAACTGAGCAGCCCATAAAAAAACTATTATTATTGCCACAATGGCCAGACAAATCTACAATAAAATAGAAAACAAAATGTTTAAACAGAGTATAGAGACGACATTGGATGATAGCTTAAGAATACTTCCTTCTCTATTGTACCTTGCTATGTCATGCTTTTCGAAATTTTTGAGGTTAAAAAAGCACACACTAAGCATTTAGCGATTTCACCCCATTGCTGCAGGCAATGACCTTTCATCAATATTGATATTTGCATTTGATACTATTTGTGTTGCTCTTTTCTAGATGCTATGCTAAACTAGCAGTCCCCTTCCCTTGATTTCATACAAGAGCTTTGAATCCTGCTACTAAGTGAACTCCAATCGGTGGACTTGCTTTGGTCTAGATGCCATGGGAAGATGTAAAGATAAACTGCAACAATTTGATCAAATGAAAGGAGTTACCACAGATCAGAACTCTAAGCTGTATAAGCTTCCAATCAATGTTCATAGATTTAATCAAAACTGGAATTTGTTATGCCATGACAAAAATATTCATTCTAAAGCTAGATTGCATGCACTTCACTAATCCATGATTACTCCTAGTTTGGTGATCTAATGGTTAGGGCTGAAATAACCAAGAATCAAGAAACCAGTTAACCTTATAACATGATTATTATTATTATTATTTTTATTATTATTATTATTATTATTATTATTATTATTATTATTATTATTATTATTATTATTATTATGAAATCCTCATAAGCAAAGACATCAACTTACAAAACTTCTCCCATATTTTGTGGCTGACATACCAAACTGCTACAACAAAAGCAAAACCTGAAAGAAAATCACATAAAGCTCAACAAAAGTTGGAGAATTATGATACATGTATATCATCATGAGTTACTCATTCTTTCTTGCACAGTAATTATTGAAATACCATTTCCAAAAGAAATTTAAAGATCTTTCAAAAACAACAACTAAATTGATTAATATTTTGTAAAAGAAATTACATGGAATTGCTTGGAAAAAAACAGGATGATCATGACAATTAAAACATTTCTATCAAGAAAAATCACGCAATAATAATGGTAATTTATAAGTGCAAATTAAATAAAAGTATGATCAAATGCACTACACAGAAAATAGTTTTTCCAACAGTGACAGCAAACTAAAATTAATAAAAAGCTAAAAATAGTAAATACTGACAAACCTAATAATTCCCTTCAGAAGATTAAAATATTACTAGGGCAACAAACTAAAATCTTAGCTGAGAAAGTAAGTTTTGATAATTCAATTTGAGTGATTCAACTTGTTTTACAAAATGCAGGACTCAAAATGTAGGGACTACAGATTAACCCAAGAGTTCACGATGCAAAATTATAATTGGCTCTTAACCGAAGATCTGTTAACAAGCAGTCGTGCATGTCAACACTTGTCAGCACTTCAATGGCAAAGACTTTCTCACAATTTTGCCAATTGGCTTTAGAAAGAGTGTTATCTACCAGGCGTTTCGTTTTGTGTCCTTGTGATTTCACTGCTTCATAGTATTGTTGTGGAAAAAGTTGGCGAACTCCACGAACTTGGCTTCCCAGCCCTTCAGTTATCAGAAAAGGTTGAAGACTGTACGGATGCTATCTCTGAAGAAAAATTATATGCACCCACACAGCAAAAGTCACTCTGCAATGACCTGCCTTTACAGACCAAAATGGGTAAAGCCTGCAGTGTTTTTGTATTTTGCGTCTGAACTTCTTTTGTATGAGAAACAAAACCACAAATTTTTTAATGTAGTCTCCCTCAGGGAATTTTTAGTGACAAAAAGGAAATTATTTGTCATGTAGATTGATTATCCATGTTTTCCAAACAAGCTGACTTTGTGCATAACTAAATTAATGTGTGAACCTCAATGTATTAGTATCACTAAAATAAATACTTGTTTCTCATCATCATCTTCATTTGACTGACAGAAGGGTTTTCAAAGGAGGAATATAATCGTACCTCTCACAATGTGTTCACAGTGAATGTGGATCGCAGGTTTGCAAAAGTCTTTCATACCACGCGTCTCTCGTATCAAGAGAACCTTTCGAAAAAATTCACGCTGTTCATCTACACTTTCATTTGAATGACAAAAAAATATAGATACGACGGTTTTCAAATAAGAAGTACAATCTTTTGTCTCGTGATGTAGTCACTGAGGATGTGGCAGTCTCACCTACCTTTCCACAAAATTCACGCCGTTCGACCAATAATTTCAAATAAAGTTTAAAAACTCTTCCACTCCAAAGATAGGACTAGTGTAAAACGAAAGCTAAACAACAGCACCACGGAAACCTTAGCTGACCAGTAGGAACGTGATTTAAAGTATCAAAACACGATATCTGCTTAACTCTTCCTCTGGACCGGCTGTTAATTGAGTCGCGCTTTTGGAATCGGGCGTCTACGAAAAACCTAATTTTAGAACCTACGTCTCACAAAAAGCAAGATCTTCTTTTTTCGCAACATGTTTTAAAGATTGTCTATGCGGAACCGTTTGAAATACAGAATTTCGCCGGTTGCAGCTTAACTAGCACTCACAGTGGTATGATTATTTACGCCAGAAGAATGCAGACATGTTTAAACACTCTACAGGTGAAACTCTCGTAAGAAAGTTCTCTATTTTTACAATTTAGTACCAATTAAGTATCATTTTGTCAAAAGGTAGCTGATCATACCCGCACTGAGTATTGTCCAGGTAAACGCATCCGTTATTTTAAGTTTTTTCCAGCAACTGTGATATTGTCTACGAGCAACTGGCCGTGAAACCGAACCATATTGAACGCACGGTGTTCGAAAATCCTGGTGAATAACGTTGAAAGAAAAAAAAAAACTCACCGTAAAAGGTTAATACTCTCACGGAGTCTGAAATCGAAAAGCTTTCGTGTTTTTTTCTCCGGAACTATCCCAAGAACTTGTACTGATGTCTTCGATCGACCGATTGGACGTGTAACTAAGCACTCCAATCGTCGATATTCTGAAACAAGAAAGTTGCAAAGTATGATGGGTAAATCGACCCCTCAAAAGTTTCCGCTCCCTAGCAAGAAGTTCGCCTCCGACCACATTTGCTACGAGCATTCTCTCCTTTTCAACGAAGTCCATCGCGCAATTTAAAAAAATCAGTTTAAAAAATTGTCGTTGGCACGCCACGGGGAGCTCTTGGTGTGACTTCGATGCGCTGCGGGAGCTCCATGAGTGAAGCGCTCCAAAAGTAGGGACCATAGACTAAGCTTAAGAGTTTGACCAGGTATGGCTGAGTGGTTTTTAGGCGTCAAATTTTAATCTCAATCAGGCATAACCGACAAGATTCCTTATTCCTTATTCCTATCAGTCTTCATGTCACCGCAACACACTGGTGTTTCAAATCTCGAGGCGCACGATAACCTGGAAATCTGGAAAAATGTTTCAGGATGACTTTAACGAGCAAAACTCCTAAGAAAATACTTTGGAGGGGCAGGCCGGTAAAGGAGCCATCGCGGAACGAATTTTGCCAAGTGTGTACTTGCATTTTAAAAATTTTTACGGGCATTTTAATCGCCAGAAAGTAGCGACAGAAAATTTATTTGAAGTTCCGAAACGTTCAGGAGCTGAAAAATGTCCACTCGCTGATTTGGTTGGAGAGGTTGGTTTTACCTGTGATGGACACGCGTCTTCTTCCAACCGTGTTTGCTCGAAAGGTGCAGCTAAAAAAAGAAACGCCGTGGAACTGGTAAGATACCTGAGATGTGGTCTACTTTTGCGAGTTCGCAATAGGTTAGGTTCACTACCACCTTAACCAGTTCGCCCTAGAATGTATTCTGAAGAAATCATAATCGGTAATCTGACAATTTGCTCCAACCAAAAGTTAGACCGCTCAACTCGAAAGTTAGATCGCTCCATCAAATAAATGACTTCGCTCCCAACATAAGTTGCTTCGCTCCATGTTGTAATGTGAAGTATTACTTACCAATGATCTTTAAAGTTTATAGGTGATTCCGAGTTCTGTCTCCGATCCTTCCTCGGGAAGGGGGGCAGGGGGGAGGGGGGAGGGGGATGGGGGATGGGGGATTCAGCACAGGTTCATTTGTTCATTTCTCGAACAGCGGCCGGTAATCGAACCTATTTGGCGGACGGCGCTTTCGCGCACTAAATGTTTTGAACAACCGTTTAAGATCGTTTCTTGTAGGAGAGCCTCGCCGAAAAGAAACACGTGGTATCTAAGAAACATTGTCTTATTCATTTTATACAGCTGTGCTAATTTAAAATAATTCCGTTATAACATATCAAACTCATGGGGTACAAATAGTCTTAACATGAATGTAGTGATCACGCCCACTTCAACACCCCACTCATATCGAGTGTAATTTTCGAATGTTTTACCATCGTGCGGATTCTCTACGGAAAAAGCACTCAATGTACCTTTGAAATATTGAACTATAATATTGTGGATTTCTATTTCGCTAATTTTCTAACTTGAAGGTAAAGTTTTTCCCTCGTCATTTTTACCTTTTCTACGAACGGTTGCCTGAAATTAACAAAGTGTTTTTGATCAAAACACGACCGAGCGAAGGGTCTCAGGCGATATCTCTTTGCAGGCGCACATTAAAAATGTACCGCCAGAATCAAAAAGAGGAACAAATGTCCTTTGTTTTGATATGTAAAGTGTCGAACAAAAAGCAGATTTACCTTCGTCAA